ATTGGTACATGGTTAGGCACTTAGAAGATAAATTAGATGTCCAACTTGAACAGGAAACAGTAGATCCAAGAAGAAACAAACAGCTGTTTACTGGCATCATAGTTTAGCGTTTCAGATTTAGTGACTTGTCGAATATTTGTGCAAGGTAATATGAAAACTGCTCAAGTTCTAGAGATGACTGAGAAAGATTGTGGTGCATAGTACTAGTTAGTTATCGTAACCTTTCCTCGCTTAAATTACAGTTAAAGGGTTTTTCTTTTTCAGGTTTTAAGTAAGCATCTTGATCCTGTGACCTTCAAGGTTAAGGTTTTAGGCATACAGTACTCTAGACAGAAAGACATTTAAACAGGAAATGGTTCAAACACGACTTGAGCTATAAAAAAGGGTACCAGAAATCTGTATGAGTAATGATGGGAGAAAGAGGAGGGTTTGTTTACCTTCTGCATGTAATGCTCACCACTTCTGTTTTGTAGGCCAAGAAGACGATATAGATGATTATTTCTAGATCATATTGCAGACCTCTTCGAATGTTATGGGCTGTGCTTTCAGATTATTTCTAGATCATATTGCAGACCCCTTTGAACGTTTCGGGGTGTGCTTTCAGATGTTCCAGGTTGGATGCTACCTGAGATGGCGTTTCAGCAGTCAGACATAGTCCTCAGAAGACATAAGTAGCTCTGAGGTAGCTGGCTGCGTGCTATATTGAGACTTCCTGAACTTTTTGACAATAAAAATACAAAGTTATTTTTGTTACTGACGTGGCACATCTGGAATTAAGTCTGCATTGCAAAGTGTACATTCGGTAATAATGAAACGTAACGGCTATCGATATTTGCTGCTGATATATTTAAAACCTTAAATTAAACTGTGCCTACTAAAGGTCTCTCTTTGGAGGAAAACTGGAAAATTAGGGCTTTGTAACTATTTTTGCTAGAAGACTCGTGCTTGCATGTGTCTCAGGGTCTTCAGTTTTCCTTGGAAATGATTTTTGATATCCAAAGTCCAGAGGTCATGTAAAGCATTTTTTTAATTTCACTTCCAGTATTTATTGGTTTGGAAACATGTTAAATCCATACTTTTAAAACTTTTTATGGGGCCATGAGCTTTTATATTTAGATTTCTGGCTATTGCACTTCTATTTGTGTTTTTTTTTGTTTTGTTTTTGTAAACACTTCACTTCCAGTTTAACTTAATGCAAAAACTTATATAAAGAAATTGGCTTTGGGGTAATGGAGGAAAAAGATGAAATCTGAAAAAGCATTTATATAAAAATTAAAAATTTCAACAGAATGTGGTAGCAAACCTCACAGTCATTTATATGCATATAAAAACATTAACGGATCTGCTGCAAAATGTGATAATGGTGGCTGCGTCCTCACTGTATGGTTTCTTGGGGGAGTCATACCATGGCATTCCAGTATGTGAATTAAACAAATATTGAGGTAACAACTGTCTGCTTATTTATTTTGTACTGCTAAGGCATGCTGCTTATAAAAAGATGCAGAAGCTGACGACTGTATACACTGAACATTTAAGTTCTACAGCTATTGCCTAGGAACTGTTCCATGTGAAACACTTATCATTTTTGCCAGATCTGTAATGTACATAGTTGTACAGTCTTTCCTTAACATACTTTTTAAAGTTGTGTTCTACTTTTCATTAATCAATACTTGATATTAGTTCTTAGAGCTTTCTATGGCAAAAATAAAAAAAAGTTTAATTCTAAAGATGGGTGTGGCATGTTTCTTTTTCATGACAACTCAACTACTATAGTCTAACATGTCAGATTACCAACAGTTTGTAGCTTCATTTTCCAGGTCTTTGGGAATAGCAGGGAACCCCCTGGGGACGAGGAGGTGTTTTTATTTGGAGCTTGGGCTTTTTTTTTTTCCCCCAGTTTTTCACTTTCCAAGAAAGAAAATTAAGTGAAAAACTGCACTGTGTGTTGTGAGCTGCACGTTGTGATACACGCTTACTCTCAGAATAGGCAGAGCTGCTGTGGAGCAGTCTGTCCAACTACTACTGTCATTGCAAACGAGCTAGAAAACAAGATAAACATGTCTGGTGACCAGTGCAGTGCATTTCAGCTGTCTCAGTGTTCGGGCTCCTCTTCTTAGCAGGTTGCTCCCTAGTTATGATTTGGAAGAGTTACACTTTCGGTCAACCGTGGCAAAGATGGAGAAAATTAGTTACCTTATGTAGCTTCTTACTACAGGTAAGCAATGCAATTTAATAAGTAACATACCAAATGATGTTTTAGCTGCCTTTATCTCCGTGGCATAGGGCTTTCACCTACTTCTGCTCACCTCAGAGAGCAGCTGACATCATCAGGACAGAATGAGGCCCAAAGTAATACAGTAAACATGGAAGTAAGTAAAGGGGACACTGGCACTGCACTGGCTGGATTATTCACCTCCGTGTTAAGCAAAAAATGAGCCATAATGACTTCACAGTGAAGTCAGGGCGCCCTGTTACGTGGGTAGGACTGCAGAAATATGCAGTGTATAGGCATCTGGGGCTTTTAAAAACAGAACTTGAAAAAAGGTTCTGGCTAATCCTGGTCGAAACACCAGTTTCCAATATAGCAAATATATTTTTTGGGGTTGGCTTTGGTGTTTTTTGTTTTTTTTTTTTATTCTAAACGCATGATGCTATTATATTGGAATTCCTCAACTAACATCGAAGATGCTTGTAGAAGTGGAAAGTTGCTAAAATGTGAAATGCAATTTATAAATGTTTACAAAAGTCACACAATTTTATTTAACTTTGGTGAAGTAATAAAAGGGTCCACATGAGTCACAACCTTGACATTCTCATAGAAACAATGAATACAGTGCAGAATGTTGCATTTACATTAAACGCTTAGTTTTACTCAAGCAGAAGGAAACGAGTACTTCAACAGAAAATCCCACCGGTAATTTTTCAAATGTGAAAATGGACTTGTCCTTTTATACTGAATTTAAAGCAGCAATGCAATTTTTGCTTAAATATTCCTTAGAAAAAAAATGAGAATTTGGGTAATTGCCTAGGTTTAGTATTTGTCAACTCAAAACCAATGACTCAATCGTTTCCCAATTGTTTCTCTGCCACTAAGTTATGTTCCCCTCATAAGTTTCCTAGCCCCGTAGTGTCCCCTAGTCCTCCTAGCCCTATTTAGCTGACAGGCACAAACGGTAGAGTATGTTTGTCAGAAGTGGGACAGGACTGTTAGCTTTTATTTCAAAGATGCAGCAGAAAAATGTTTTCCGATATTAACGCGTCCTTCTCATTCTATTTTTGTGGGGAGTTTTATCAGGAGAAGTACTGACTATTTTGAAATTGCCCATGGATCAAGATGTAATTCAGGAAAATATAATATAAAATGGATGACACCCTAGTATATAAACTTATTTCCAAGACGCAAATATATAGGTGCTGCACTTTAACTATCTATAGTAAACCAAAATGTCACCAGGATATGTTCTGCATACACTACTGCTTTAAATCCCATGAGTTGTATTCCTTTCTCCAACCATTCATTTTTCTTTGTTACTGGAGAAAAGTTACACTTGCTTCTGGATAAGCAGTGTCATCCTTTCGCTTGTGAATATACTGATTAGTGTTTGACAGTGGAAATGATGAGGTTAACGTATAGCCTAGCCTAAAGGCTCTGCAAATGCACAGGATTAAAAACAGCATTTATAAAGTGTGGATGTACTTTCGAAAGTGAGATCAGACACTTCAGTGTTTGGTTTTCATTTTGACAGTATTTATTTTTTTAGATTAAAAGTAGAGAGATGCCACACTTTAAAATCCAACTGGATTTTTGTTTTTCCTCCCCAAGCATGTATTCCACTTTCAGATTCTGAAAGCCAGATTTATTTAGCTTTTAGGTACCTCTTTGTCTGCATCAGTTGAAAGAAGAGGTAGACAATTGAGGATTAGGGTCAACAATCTGATGCCAAGGAAATTAAATCTTTAGGAAATAAGGAGTAAAATGTCAATACCTTATTTTTATCCTTGAAGTAAGCAGTTGAGAACGCTCAGGGTGAGGAGCTCAGAGCTGAACGCTGTCATCTGAAATCACTTCCTGGAGTAGAACCACACTTCACAGGACAGTGTGTCACATAACAAAGCTGACCTTCTTTTGTTATGCAGGGTGCATGCAAAATCTCTTGGAATCTAGATCAATCAGCACAGTCATCAGCTGAAGATTAAATGAAAGTCACAACAGTAATTGCAAATTCCTATCAGTTTCATCCTATATTACAGGGTGTTGAATTCTATCCATGTGAGACTTACATCTTGGAGAACTAGTAGTGGATATTCCTTATGTGCAGCCCATAATACAGCTACTAAAACAGTGCTTATTCAGGGTGCTGATTCAGTCCATTAAAAAAGTAAAAAGTACAAGCTTAAAAAAAAAATTCCCAACCAAACAGAAGGGGAAAAAAAAAAAATAAGGTTTTCACTACACTGTTTCAGTGACTTATGGACAGTTCCTGATGCTCTTTATAGGAATACAAGGAAGATTTAGGCAGTGCAACCACCCAAACTGTTTGACTTCAGCATTACTCACACAGAATTCTGAGAGAGACAACTGCATTTCACCTTCGACCTCAAGCAGCATCCTGAAATAAAACCAGCTTGCCTATGAAGGCTTTTCCCCTCAAAAAAGCCATATTCCAATTGCTTTGCTAGACAGACATGAAAATATCCTATGACATTCTCTCTTTTCGTTAGCGCTGGAGTTTGAGACACTGTCGCGGTTCCCCCCAAGACTTTTCCAGTGCGTAGGCTGTAGCCAACAAGTGATGTGAGCAAGGTTCTGCAGCCCCAAAGAATCCCAGCCCCTGGAGCCCCAAGGCCAAAAAAACAGGCGTCTGCAAGCTGACCCCCACCTTAACCAGACCGATACTCTCCAGCAACTCTCAGTCTTGGCTACCCTTACTTCAGCTTGGCACAAGATGGAGTAAGGCAGACCAGAATCTATCGTCTGTGTCGTATCGCTTTATTAAAAACCAAGGACTACATGAACCTCGTGGTAAAACAAGGAGGCTGGAACTCAGGTCACCTGCTACTCATCGACACTGCAAAACACCAGCAGTATGTCCCCCTTCCTCAAACTCCGTGGTCAAACCTCTGAAATAAGTCTCGCAAGAAAGAACAGTCCGATCCGATATTTGTATTTGCAATTATCTCCTGTAGCTATTCTCCCACTCCCTCCCACAGTAAAATATAAATACAAAATGTTCACAATTATTTCAATGGCAAGTATTTTTTTCTTCTTTCCCACATTCTTTATGGTGTATAAGGTGGTGGCTTTTCAAAAGGTGGAAAATATGGTGGCGAGTAACGAGGCGGCGCATTAGAGGACCACATGTAGCTGGGAGATGGCGACACTGACTGGGGGTCGTCGGAGAGGCCAGAAGGAGTGGAGGCTGGAAACACGCTGGAATGCTGCAGGGAGACAGCAAGAAGGCTGTAATGTAACCACTTCTTAACATAAAGGACCCTGGCAAAGTGATATTTCGTTACCAAGCAGTGCAAAATTAGCATTTCAAGGCTGACTTCTGCAAAACGTATGTGCACAGAAATAAGTATTCAAATAACTTGTTGCAGTCAAGGTAAGCACATCCTGTGAGTAACAGCTTGAATAGCGAGACGCCTTAGACCTAAAACGGAAGAAGGCATTTAAAAAAAATTAATAAATAAAATTTCTTTCTCATCACTTCAGTGCACCCGCTGCATTTCACAGAGGCTGGACAACTGAAGACTGATGAGTCTCTCTCAAGTCTTGGGTTTCACGCATCAGCCAGCAGCGACAATGAACAGGCTGCAGATAATTTCTTTTTACACTACTTTCTCTCTTCATCACAAATAAAAAAAACCCAGAAATTAATAACAAAATAATTTATTTCTTCAGTAAGTAAAAAGCTTGAAAATGTGCAGGACTTGTGCTCCTCCAAAAACCAGAGAGCTGGGTCTGCCGTTTGAGAGTTGAGTGTGAAAGCCAGGCTCTTGCAAAGGCACAGGCTTCCTTAGCAATTCTGGAGTGTTTTATTTTCCTGTGAAAGATGTGTGGGATGAGAGGGAAGCACTGACTCGGCCAATTCTTGCACCAGAGGGAGCGCAGCCTTCGAAAGGGATTTGAGAAAGGAGGCTGGGCTTGCTCTGTGTGCCGCAGGATGGCAGGGGAGGAGGTGTCAGGGTGGCCCAGACGCTGCTCGGGTCAGAGTAGGGCTCAAGGCAAAGATTCTCCTCAAGTTCCCTGGAAGATAAGCAAGGCTCAGGCTTGGAATTGCGTTAGAAAGAGAGACTTGGCTATTTTAAATTTAGATTACCTCAATTTATGTGCAGTTTTTGTGCCGGCTGCTAAGCCAACACCTGTGCTCACAGCAGTGAGAGACGGAGGGACGTTCATCCGTCTGGCTGAGCGGTGAGCGTTCGCAGAGCCCCAGCGGAACTCGTGGTTGGGAAGCAGGGCAAATCCACCCGTGCTGAGCTCTCTGCTGGTACTGTGGCTGCCCTACAGACAAACGCCGAGTTCAACGGCGCTTAGCACCAGCCTGGCAGCTGAGACTTCAATTTCGCAGCACAGTCTGCTTTGGTATGCGCCGAGGTTGGCATTTTTCTAACTATAAAAAAGTTATTCAACACTGGTGACTGTCCCAGGTTGCGTTACTCTCAAAAACAAGTCACAAATCTATACAAATGAGTCGCAGAAATTCTGATGTAAGTGTCCAAATATTTCCAGGAAGCCCTGACAACGGCATTGCCTAGTGGCACTAGCAGTAAAACCAGAAAGTTTTAGGTCCATGTTACCTCTAAAGAATAGCTCTGACAAGGGAGACGGTGGCTAGCAGAGCACACCTCTTAGTTGATGTCCAAGACCTTAAGCTCTTGTTAATAAAAAAAGTCTCCAGCCCTGATAGTTGCAAAGGAAATCTATGATGTGTTAAGTTAACATCACCACTGTGGGATCGTCCACCCGAGAGAAGAGCTGAGGAGGAAACATCCTGATCTGCTTCAACAAGTGAAAGCTGGTGTTGACAGCAAGATTAACACAAAACCACCGTTTCCAACAGCACAGCTCCGTAACTCAGAAAAGGAAGGGGTGCATTGCAGCAGGGGTGATGTTCACAGGGACTGTTCTTAGACCAGCTGAAGCATGTGGAAAAAACCCACAAAAATAGCTTTTCAGTTAGTATTTGTCTTCAGGACCCCAAACAGCTTGTTTCCAAAAGCTCATCTGTTTCTCTCCGACACAGCAGTCGCCCTAACAAAAACCAGCACCTGAACACCTCGCTTTGGAAACACCTCACCTGGTAGGAAAGATTTGGTATCCTCTGCAGGAACAGGAAAATTAAACTGTGTGAATGACGGGAAGACAGGCCTCTGGAGTCCTGCGGAGCGGCTGGGTTTAACCTTGCCCCTAACCAAGAAAACATCCTGTAACGTTTCCTACCTGAAAGTCGTACGCGGAGTAGGGCGGCAGGTGAGGAGTGCTGTGGTAGTAGGTGTTGTAAGATGTCACTTGTGGCCTCGAGTAGTAGGACACGGAAGGGTGTGTGTTTTCAACCGCACAGTTCAGCGTGGGGAGGGAAGGAGTCTGAGAAAAGACAAAGAGGAGGATCTCAGGCTGCTCCCCAAGTCACGGCAAGCTGGCAGCTGAATGAAAGCAGAAATGATTTAAAGGAGCACTGCGTGTCTTCAGAGCTCAACTCTGCCGAATCAGCAACCGGCAACATGGTTCCCTCTCGGGCAGCAGATGCATCCCGAGGTCATTTCATTCCTCAGCCACTTATTGTTTCCTCTCAGATTCCACAAAGCGAGCTGGCCACGGCCCAGCGCACACCAGTACTCAAACCAAACAACTTGTTCAGGTTGCATCTTTGCAAGCAGGAGAAAGAATCCACTAATTTTGATTACTCTGTTATAAAGTGCATTTTGAGATCAGCATATTTCGAATCCCTTCGTGCTGCTGTTCACAGACATTTCTATAGATCTTTTTTTTTTTTGCAGAGGTTTACAGGCTGTCTGGTGGGGATCAAATCACAAAAGGCCATGATGCACAGCTGGGAAAGTGTCTCCTGTTTCGTTTGGGAATATCTTGGTGGGTCTGAAAAGAGCGTAGGAAAGTTCAGAATGCTGAAATAAGGCACCCCTTAGTGCAGGGCCCAAGATTTGTTTGTGAGAAAAATGTATTGCCAGGACAACAAATGCTCTTTTCTGGATGTCTCATTTTGTATTATTCCAATTAGTCACAAGAGACTGAAAAAACTCAAAATTTATCTGTTGAATGTTTAGTTCTCCCCATTGATTTGTCCTCTGCAGAACAAAAGTGTATGGAAGGTAACAGGCAGCCTGGTTAAGTGAAGGTATTCCAAAGCTCACGTTGTCAGAAAAGCATTTTTTTCATTATCTGAAGTTTGCAATCTTTCACTTGGTTTTGGTCCCCAGTTCACACAATCAGATTCTGCACCATGAAGAAACTAGATGGAGAGTTTCAGCCTAACATGGCTGCTTAAACAGCCTGTAAAGCTCGGAACCCTACTACTGCTATAAAACCAACAATTCAGGAGCAACCACCACACATTTCCTTGTAGAAGGAACGACGTATGAAAAGGAAGATCAGTTTTTAAGAAAGAGATTGTTTTTATGCATCCAAGTATTGCCAACACCTCTGAGAAGGTTCCTCTTGAAAACACAATCTCCCAATTCTGTTTGTCTTTCCTAATTGTGTTCAGGTGGTGACACCAGATCAGAAAGCTGAATCATTTCCACTTTCTCCTTACAGTTATTTCATGCCCTTCTTCCCAGCCTAATTGCAGTGATACATAGATCATTTGCATTGAAACACCAATAGCTGTTTTCATGATTATTTTTAAAAGGCAGTTTGCCTGATTTGTTCCACTTAATGCACAGAGAAATTGGTATCATCTTACCATGTCTTTAAAGCCTCCAAGTATCGCTGCTGTAATGATCCCTAGGAACAGCCCCACTATGTTCAGAATCGTTGCCGACCAAAGCAAGTGGTAAAGGTGGATGATGTCTTGGCAGCTGCTGACATCAATGTATTCATAGTAGCCTCCAGAAATCTCTACTCTGCTAGATTAGAAAAAAACCAATAACGATTAAAAAAATGCAACGCACATCATAAAACGTAAGCACTTCTGCTGGACAGTAAAATGCATTCTGCAATTTAATGATAGCCTGGACCTAACTGCTGAGGGAGTGGGGATAAAGCCTGCTAGATCCCATGCTTGCGGCACCCGAGATCTCCCCGCACGACAGTGGCAGGAGACGGCTCGACCTGTTGTGAAACAAACAAGACCTGCAAGGCCTGCAAATACCCAAACGACCTTGAGTCTGAACCTGCCTCTCACTTCTATCATCTGAAATCTCCACAGAGATCCTGGAGGTTTCCCAAGGACAAACCGGTCTTGGAATTAGCCAGGGAAATCAGTCCGTGCCCCGAGGAGTGGGTGCTGCCCCGCAGGGCTGTGCTGGCTGCTCCTCATGCCCACAAGAGTGGCTGGGTGGGACGGGCACAGGACAGCAGAGCTGGCCTGGCACCGCAGAGCTTGGCCACAAAGCATCTCCAACTCAGCCGCTCTGCTCCACCTCCCATGTCTACGATGGCATGGGCTGGCAGGACCCCGGAACCCTGGCAAGGAGAGATCTTCTGTTCACATTTTTAAGCTTTTCCACATGCAGAAGAAGAGACAGAAAATGAGAAAAGTCAGTGGAATC